CCTAGTTCCACGTTTGCACCTTCAACTATTAAATTATGTTCTTCAACCACGTATGAAGTCTGAAATCCACTCTCTGAAACTTGGCGATGCCTCTTGGTGTAGAAATAACCACCTCAGGGAGGGGAGCTGCCAAGGAACACGAGGCCAGTGCCACCCTGAAATGTAGTAAGAAGAAAAAAGGAAGTGCTTCAGCTGTGGAGCCCCTTAGGTGTAATAAACACTTGAATCTTCCACACAGGGGATCAGTGCTCACGCCGTTCGGTCCTCACTGGAATCGTGGGTGAGACTCTCACGAGGTCTCGGAGAAAGACTGCTGTGCACCACTGTGTCACCCGCCGAGGGCAGCTGGCGTGCTCTGCACATGGGTGTGTAATTCTGTTGATTGTCGTTTGTCTAGAATTCAGTAAGCCAGACAGCAACATAGGCATCTGCAGATAATTTTAAGGTTATATTGTGTATGATAAATTGCAAATCCCCATTTGAGAGGATAATACGATAATAAGAGATTTGTCCTTAACCATAATGTGTTGGAAAGCTGCAGAGATGCACTTCTCCAGTAGGAGAGATGCTGTTGCAAAGGCAACTCAAGTTTCTGTTCTCAAATAATGTGCTTCTGCATGTGGTCTATATATCGTATGTTTTAACATGGAAGAACAAGTCATGTGCTTCTGCACTGGGTCTGGATACTGGATACTGGATTTTTCCAATTGGAAGTATAAGTTCTGGATGATCATAGGGCTGCTTAAAGGAGAATAGCTCTTATTTGTCTGTGATAGAACCAATTCATACATTTCACATTTTCAGGAAATTATCTTTACAGGGTGTGTTTGCTTTGCTTTGAAGTGCAAAATCAATAACTGAAAACAGATTAAGATATTCTATCTTATTAAACAGTTCTTTTCCCCCATGATCAGCATATAAATATATCTTAAACCAGTAGCAATCATGATACTGACCTGCAAGATTAAACTATATAAATGTTAGCTCAGCTTGTCTACAGCACAATGCTATCTCTATGCTTAGAATAATCTTTACATTTATGAGATTATAGAAGGATGAATTAAATAGTCTGCAAAAAAAGAACTTTTTACATACAGTACAGAAGCCAGTCTTTGGGAGGGTAGATATATACAAAGGTTTTGTGGATTTTGGTAAACAGTATATATTGTTGTTCCACATTTTTCTCATATTGTTGGTAATGCATGCATTTAAAATATATTAAATATTTCATAATGTTATCATATCAAATATCACAAATTACAGTAGTGTAATTTATTGAAATATTTTCTAATCAGAAATCTATTCACTTTGATTGATTAGGTGTCTAATTCAGGAGCTGATGATGATATACAGTTAGTGAACAGAAGCACAGTTTCTCACATCTGATGAAGGCACCAGAACTGAAACATTATATGTTTCACTCTTTCCTCCTCAGCATGCAATTAACCATTTCTTGTTCTTAATTAACACACAGGATATACTGTACTATCCACTGAAGTGTGAAGCAGTTCTGTATTTAGGTAAACGAAAATCAATCAATTATTGTGTTGTAAAGGTTTCACTCAATGTTTAGTAGCACAGAAGCATCGAGTATCTTTCTACTTGATTGTCACTAGTCTTATAAACCAGGTGATTTCATTGCAGGCTGATAAAACTTCCTTAGATCTCAGAGCTTCTGCGAATGGCAGAGTTTCTTTAAGCTTCCCAAGGGCGAGATAAAATGTGTAAAATCTGCATTTCTGTGTAACTGTCTCCTTACTTTATAAGACGTATTTCAGTGTTTTCTTGTGTGTTTTACAGGAATGTTAATTTGTTTTAAAACAATATACAACATAATGCAGAGCTCAGAAGTTTTTATAACTGTACAACTTTTATCATGTAAGAATGACCCAAGGGTAGGAGCTGAGTTTCGAATCATTCATTTCAAAAGTCATGTTTTGCACTTTGCAAACCTCTGTGACCTTCTTCATTTTTTCATCGAAGGTGTTCTCATCATTCTTTGTCCATTTGTGATGAATCACACAGGAGTTTTTTTAAATATACAGTTATTGATTTTGATGAAAGATATTCAGATGAATGTTTCCTTGGCAGTAGAGCATCTTTTCATTTTAACATCACCTTCTTTCACAAACCTCTCTCTTTTCTGCACATCTACAGCAAATCAGCGTTGAATGAAATCACATGACCCTCTAGGACAATTGTGGAAAAGTTTTTTCTATAAAATCTGTTCAAGCAGTCTTCCTGTAAATCTACTCAGGTTTTAAGTAAAATGAAAGGATTTAATATGACACACGTCCAAGCTAGATACAATGTGAGAGTAATGTTCTTGAACAAGACTGAGTACAGTATCCTGACTGTTGAGGCTATGCTACACTCTGATATGTGATGCATAAATCTCAGCAAATTCAAGCATCAATTTTCAACTCACATTAAACGGAAAAAATAATAACACAAACACTGGGACTATTGTGAAAATACGTTTGCGTTCAGGGGACTGTAAAAAAAACACTTTTTTTCTTAAATGAATGTAATGTAGTACATTTTACTCGGTGTGTATAACATTTTCATCTCCATTGAAATGTTTTGTTTATTGTACTGGAGGTACAAGGTAATTAACTGGAGGTAATTAATGAACATATTAAACATTTGTTTAGGTATACCTGGGTATGACATTGTTCTTCTTGGACGTACAAAGAGTCATCCTGAAGGGGCTGTTGTTTTAAATGCAGTGTGTATTAAGAGTTAAAGACAGGTTTGGACCTCATTACCTCAAAGGGAAAAAAAACTGTTTTGGTATTTTCAAAAACAATGCCCTTGGCCTAAATCAAAAAAAGTGACAGCAAATATCTTAATCCTCAAAATAAAGGATAAGTCCATTATTTAAGTGGCTCCAGATTTAGAGCTTAACCAAAGGCTAAAATATTTCTCAGGGTTACCCTCACACTCCTTCCCCTGCAGCAATTTAAACATAAATCTGTTGGAAACCTAATGCCACTACTTCACTAACAGTCCTTCATTAAGAATGCCAACTTGAACACTTCATGCTTGTTTCCACTTGCTGCTCACTTTGTGCAATTTTTAAAATGCATTAACTCTTATTTCCATGTTATATAGCCACAGATTATCAAAAGTAAAGATATTTATCTGCATGTTTTTATATGATAAAGGTTGCATGCACAAATGATCAAATAAGAAAAGTGGTTTGAAAAGTTCTGCGTCTACTGTAAAAGGAAATATGGGACATCATTGCAGCTTTAGCTTCTTAAAATAAGTCTGTGCTGGTTATACTCAGGCTGCCACTGTCTCTGGATTAATGTGCTCCTTGTTCGTGCCTTGTGTCTTGCAGATACTGTAGATCTCTCTGGCTGTGGAAAATGATTATTTTCTAAATTTAATTTCAATCTGCATTTGCTACCATAGTAATTTTGTTTGTATTTTGACCACTGAGTTCTGTAGTTTGGACAGATGTATGAATAACATATGTAAAAGGGTCAGATCTTTGAAGCCTTTTTCTCAATTTATGAATCACTGCTCATATTTTGCTAGCCCGCTGTAAAATGTGAGAGTTCAGAAACCAAAACTTTCAACTTTTAAAGTGCTCTTTCAGAGAGAACCACAAACAGATTGGCAGATTCCCTCACTAGTCCCCTACACCCTCCTTCACATCCTGACTCAAAATTAGATGAATATAATTGGAAAAAATCATTCTGAAAAAAACATTGAGCTTAATATCCTTAACAAAAGTAATAACTTTAGCTTTGAATCTTTCTATCATGTAATTCCACGCCTAAATGGACAAGTTCTGTTATTGGAATCAAAATCACTGCCTACTAGACACTCGCCCCCTCCTGCACCATCCAGTTTTTTTTGGTATAATTGAAGGTGCAAAAATGAAATAATTTCACTGGTGATAACAGATTTCACATCTGGTTAGGGCTTCTTCCTTGAAGAGTACTTTTAGAAAGACAACTAAAAATATTTATATTCATGCATCATCAATATCTTCATTAAATGGAAGATTGAAGTCATGTTTTATTTACCACTTCTACATAATGCCACTTGACATTACAGCATCTTGTCTTCGGCTCTGGCACTGAAGGTTTTTTTTTGTCTACAGTGTAGTTTTACTTTCACATACAGTTTATGCAAAAGCAGATTTTGTTGTTTCATAGAGGTCAATCCAATTATATTAGCCGTGTTTGTATTTGCTGAGGGAAAATTTGGGTGGAATGGAAAAAAAAAACAGACAGCAGATTGGAGATTTTGAGTTTTTTAGTAAAATAAGGTCATGTATTTTTAAGCAGGATAATTTCAGGCTTTATATGTACAATAAAGCAGTGTTTCTTAAAAATTCTAATTAAATGCAATGCATTTTTTACTTACATGTACTTAAACTGTAGATCTGTTTTTTAAACATTCAAGGCAATCTTTAGCCAAACCCGATAATTCTCAAGAGTGAAATACTGCTTTCCTCAGGGGAAAAATGTTCTATTTAGTTACTTCTCACTTGGTGTAAGATTGTTGGCACCCAACATCTTTTGGCTCAGTTTTCTGTAAACCGCTGTCATTTTGACTCAGATACAGAAGTACTGTTTTTTTTTCATTGATGGCTAAAAACAATTCTTATTCTCCTAACAATTAATTTTATGATTCAGCTCAATTCATGCAACTGTATTCATTGCCAGTTCATGTAAAAATTGACATTTCATTGTGAAGATCTCTGGACTGTAGTGTTCAAATGTGAGTTACCGGATAGTAGCTGCGTTATAATATCTTCTTATATCTGCTGAAGTCATCTGAGGACTGATTACGAAGGCTTGAGCATTAACCCCCTTTTTTCACTCACTCATGCTCCACCCTAAATATGGAAATCCGCAATAGCATTTTTAGCTTTTAATAAAGAGACGGGTTGAGCACAGGTGCCTGTTTTGCTTTACAGGAGAGCTGCAACTCTCATCAGGCGCTGGAAGCACAGATGACGTTTCCTGTATTGTTTTCAGGTCTCGGCACCCTTGCAGGGGTAGGGCTGGCCGGAGAGGTGCTGAGCACACACATTTCGTCCTCCGTGCGCTTCTGTCAGAGCTGGGCCTGTCACAGTGGCGTTCTCGAGAGTTCTGGCTCATTATGCTGCTCCTCACTTTCATCTGGTTTCTGAGGCTTTACCTGCATTACTGTAGCCAGTGGCTCTTCCTCCAGGCCATCTCCGTTCCTGTCAACAAGTGAGTTTTGCTTCCTTTGATATCCCTCTTCTGCATTAAAGCTCGGAAGGGAAGACTGAAACTGGCAAAGGCAGCAGCATTTTTATAGCCCTGCATTTGCGGTTCAACACCGATCATCCTTAAAGAACACAACACTAAAGACATTGCAACCAAACAAAATCATACCAGCTTAGGCCTCATCTAATCAAAGATCTACTGTACTCTCTTCTGGAAAGGTGTGTCTTTAAAAAAAAAAAAGCTTTTAATATCTTGAGCATGGATTTGATTTGTTTCTGCAAACAACTATAAAGGAGCATACTAGCAGAATGGCAGGTTCTATTTGACCCGCGTGTTCCTTTAAGCCTTTTGTCATGGATAGTTTTGACCATATCGCTGCAGCTGTAGGGACAGTAAAAATGATGACTGTCTCTGTTTGCCTAAACCCATCGAGAGCCAACGGTCAAGCTCCATGAAGGACATAGTCAAATGGGGAAAGAACTCATGTAATCAATTCCAGTTGCACATGCATCTGTATTGCGAAATTATGCAAACCAATTTACCGTAATAAGCAACACCTGCCAACAAAAAAAAAGTTTCTAATTGTATTGGTAAAGAAAGATTTTAAACACAGATCCGATACACTAGTAAATTACATTTTAAATGCATTTCTATCAAAATTGCCTGGCAGAAGCCTAAATTGTATAGGGACAGTGGTAAACACATTCTAAATTACTAGTTCATCAGTCTTCCTTTGGTCTCTTTGACAGCATGCAAATATTTGCTGTACGTTTGGATGAGTTGTTGGCATCTGTCCTGGATTTCTTGTGCTGAAGCCAGGTCAACCTTCTTTCGAAGATTACATGACAGTATTTTCATGTCTTGTTCAGCAGAATGGGTATCATCTTTAGATGTATGAGATTGTCTAACACATTGGAATCGGGGTCCAGAAATGAGGGTGAATGTTGATAGGTCTGAGACTTACAAAAGCAGGCATTTTTTAAATCACATTCAGGATGCTGGCTGGAAAGGTAGTAAGACAAATGCAACACTGGGATAAAATCTGATCTTTATGAGTGTCTGGAAAACGTGAAATAGACCTGGTTTTACATAAGATGGATAACTCAACGAGAAAGTAGCGAAGAAGATAATCCTGTCGTTGAAAATGGCAAAGTCTATTCCAAATGGAGAGAAGAAGAACCCCTCATTACATACAAAAAAAAACTACGCCAGACAAATTATATTTTTCCTTAGATCGGGGAGCTTTTAAGACAGTCAGAGACTTCAACATCATGATCTAAAATTGCCTCGCTGGTCAACGCAGGTCAAATGTTTTCAATTAATTAGGTGTGACCATCGCAACGGTCTCTCATGGGCTCAGAGCACAGGCAGCGCCACTCTCTCGACACCGGGAAAAAACACCTAAAGTGTCTAAAGACGGGCTCTTCTTTCACGCGCCATCTAGGGTTCGAGGATGTGCCATCACGTCTGTGACATTTCCAGGGCTTGTTAAGGCCTGTTAAGTGTGAAGGTATCATCCGGGAAAGCTTCAGAGCTGGTGAGGGAAACGGAGGCAGTAGTGAGATCGGACACTCGGTTTTGGTGAATAAGTGAAACCTTTGCAACAGAAATCTGCGAAGGTCAGCAAAAGGATTGTATGATCAGAGGGCAAAACAAAGAGAATAGAAGGCCACTGTGATGGAAATAGCAACAGCATATGACCAGTATGCCATATGTCCGTCTGTACACTTGCTAATGGACGGGCATTGCACATAGAGGCTGGAGCAAGATTAAATGACACTGGAGAAATCGAGTATAGAAAAACCAAAAAGGTGATAAAACACAAGGATAAGACATCTGAAATTTGAATCTTCTCCTGGAGTAGATATAAACAAAACAGATAAACCTCCGGATTCTTTTCATGAGAATAAAAAAAAAACATTGGGCCTTGCCTAAAGGCAAAAAAGTAGTAACAACTTACATGAGGCACCCGTTTGCACAGTGTAATTACATAGAAATTACTTGGTAATAAGTAAGTAATAAGACAGTAAATACTTGAACCTCCTTACAGTTTTAATATGCACAATTTCAATTCACGTGTAATGTATTTTACTGGTATATGCATATACACACAATTCCACATGTAAGTATGAAGTAATTTCTATGTAATTGCACTAGGTGAAGGTGTACTATTTCACTAGTTCTGCTGTAGTTCTGCTGTCAGATACAGTATAGTGAAATAATCACACCATTACCAGTGCAAAGTTTTGCGGATGTATTTGTAATTGGAAAAAAATCCCCATAATGCCTATACACTAGGTCTTTCTACCGTGCTTTTTAAGCAGTAGAGAAACATGTTATTTGCTAATGTGACCCCGTACTGTAAACACTCTGCAGACTCGCCTTCCTTGTGCCTTATCCACAGATTCCAGTTCTGTCTTCACACGGTGAAAGTCGTCTACCAGAATTCCTTGCTTCATACCCGCGAGGAGTTGGCGATGGTAGTGGTGGGACCCCTAACCTTGAATGTAGTTATGTTACTTATGGTTCTGATCAGATGGGGCTGTCAGCTAATATTTGGCTCACTCCCTTCCCTCTTGTCAAAGTTTATCATGGCAATGGGAGTGTGGACAGTGCTCGACCCTCTGGCAGTGTTTGCAGTGGATGCAATCCTGGGGGTAAGTCACTGAAAATAACTTGGACACTTGTGCACTTTAAATAGAAGTTCACTTTATCTTAGAAAAGTGACTTCATACAACAAGAGAAAGAAAAAAAAACTGATGCCAGAGCCAAGGTTAGATGTATGTCTTTTTGGCTGCAGTTAGTGCATTCTTTGCCATTTTCCTCCTGATGTAGCTTAGGGAATCTTGAGATGTACCGTTGAGATGAATATGTATGTAGAAAACACCACAACTTTATTTCCTTGTTTTTTTTTTTCCATTACTAGCTGTAATAATGATACATGTGGTAATAAATAACCATAATAAGAACTGTGTTGCTAAGTACTGTTGATGAGAATGTTTGCTTTTTACCTGAAGCAATATTTAAACTGCACATCAGTTTGGAGCTCATATACTGTAGCTTTTGCTTTACTGTTGAATTTAATCTAATTGTGCCAATTCACCACATATAAGGTAATTTTGCTGTAATCTTAGTAATGACATTAAAATATCATACACTGACTCAGACAGTGTACTTACTGTATTTTACAAATACTTGCATAATTTACTAAAGATTGTATTTCTGTATTAAAACCAAGTTTTCTTCATTAGGAAGAAATGTGTGATGAGACGTCCTTACTTAATGCAAGGGCTGAGTTATTTTCAAGCACCCTTATTACATTAATTTAATAGAACTTTGATTTTTTTATGCATACAGTATATATATAAAAACAAAAGTAACTCAAATACAGCTTCAGTTGTAAAAGTTGTAAGTTGTAAAAGCAACTAACTCAATATCAACTGTACGTCTTTACCAAAAGTATTAAGTGATTAAGGCAGTTTTATGTGTGTGGGATAATGCTAAAAAAACTCAGGCTTCTTCTTTTTACGTCTTGATAGAAATACTGTTTCGTCTTAACATGGGAGAAAAGTGTTCTGTGTGTTCTTTTCAAAAATGTGCTAGCTCGTGCCTGGCGTATGTGTTTTATAAGAGCACGTTTGACAAACCTCTCACCCTCCCGCTAATACAGCCTAGTTTTTTATCACACCTTCATTCGTGATCTTCATTTGTAATCCTCTTTTAGGCAACTTCTTTCTTAATGGGCAAAATTGAGTAAATGTGGGGGAGCGATCTAGGATACTCCTAGATAATATTTGAGTGAATGTCAATGTCTCCCTGGCCTTGCAGACTTCACCTCTCCTTGCATACACTTCCTGCAGCTGCATACATTACAATACATCCATTTCCACTTCAAAACGTTTATTTCTGCTTGAAACGCTGGTCTGTCTCCAGTCCCCCTGAGCCCCCTCCTGACCTGTCCTCTCCGTCTTCTCTACTGGTCTGTAGACTCCATTCCTTTCCTTCTTGTCCCTGGATCCGCAGTGCTGGAGTGAGCTACCCACTGCTCAGTCCTGGACCACCTCCTGGCACCTCCTCTGGACTCGTGTGTTCTGGACCATGCCTGTGATCTGTCTCACACATGCCAGATCCTGCGCCCGGCTCAGTGATATTCCTTCTTCACTGTCGTCAAAGTTTCTTTACCTTCGCACAGTTTACTGCTCGCTGCACATTCTGCACGCTGTTTTCTTGCTCTGCTCTGCACAGGCATTGCACATCTAACATGCGCCTGCCTCACTGTTGCATTTTATTTGTATTGCATTACTTTATATTTTGTAATCACCCTGGACAAGGGCATCTCCTAAACTACTACTACTACTACTACTACTACTACTACTACTACTACTACTACTACTACTACTACTACTACTATTCTACTTTTGTAAACCATTACATTGCAGCGTATTGTTATATGTTAATATCTGTCAAATTTTTCAGCACCTTGCCTATAGTGCAGAGGAGCCCATAGCAGATGTGATGAAACTCTACTGGCATTTCCACCGAACTGGAAACTCTGCTGTTCTGGGTATCATGATCACACTCTTCCTTTACGTTGTCCTCTTCATCTGCTCCTGCACTACAATATATATTTACTTTCTCAGGTAAGAATTGACCTTGATTTTTGCTTTAAGAGTGGTGTTCAGTTCTTTTCTTGACTACTTTTGGTGCAGAACAAATCCGTGGTTTAGGAACCTAAGATGAACACCATTCAGAATAATGTTTAATGTTGCTCCTGTGCTAAAGACTGTAGTCAGTAACCACACAAGAGGCACGATTCCTGATATACTTACCTCTGGGGTTCTTGGACTCACTTCAGCGCATGGTCACCACGTGCTTCATCCTAACCTCACCACATGGGTGGCTTCCCTGGGGAAGAAGGCGACTCTTGGAGGCAAAGGATTCTGCAACAGCACAATGAGTACCCACACACAAGGGCCACAGCACAGCGCGTCTGGGGTTTGATTTTGAGCTGTTACCCATTCACTGTATGCAGGCAGTGTCTGGCATGTGTAGGATTCAGACCAAAAAGAAGAGGGTTGTACCATCAGGAGTGACACCAAGGTCCAGGCTGTAGTGATTAAAATGGCTATGGCTACATCTTTTCAATCTGAGAGCGTCCTTAAAACCTGGCAGTCAGTAGCAGTAGTTTGTGGGTGAGGAGATGGAGCTAAAATATAAACGTTTTCTTTGCTCCTGTGTATGTATTGGTGTTGAATTTAGTCAACAACCTTTAGTTCCTTGAGTATTAGGGATATTGCTTGATTGTTTTGTTTTTGATTTACGAGTTTGCTGTATTTTGTGGTGTTTAATTGGCTCGTCCCCTAGCTGGGGGCGACGAGGTTGCCTCTCAGCAAGTGTGATTTGCAGCTGATTTGGATACACCACCTCTACCTTATCAAGGACTGGGGTGACAACCTGAAACACCTGAAGACAAGACTTTGTGTTCCAAATCTTCAGTTTGTAATGTTCCGTTATACCTTAGATGCGAAGGTTTGAAATGCGATTGAAATGCGAAATGCGATGATTCGAAATTCTCTCTCTCTTTTGAAAGTTTCTTCTTTTTTTCAGATGGAAACAAAAACTTTGCATCATGCCATTCTTCCACTTTTAGGCTGACTTTGAATTTGTCTCTGACCTTCCTAGTAGCTGAAAAGTGTCACAACATTTAAGCACTGTGAAAGAACCATACAGAATTATGAACTATCACTGGATATTTTTGGATTCAGACCCTGCAGTAAAATTCTGCCAATGCAGAACAGAGAACAGAGCTCTTCCAGAAACACATCTAAGCTGTCTACACATTGATGTATGATGTATTTGTAAATAAGTCTTTCTGAGACTCTAACTCAGTGTATCAGAATTGCATATGGTACAATGACAAAGTTCATGGTGTTTTTTTTAAATATCTAAAAAATCATCTAAAAAAGAATTCAGTATGTACCATTCTTATTGTTGTCATGAGTATTAAGCAAGTGCAGATTGTAAAGTTTGCGAAATACAGAATATCTATCTATCAATACCAATTATTGATCTCCTCCATAATTGGTGAAATTGTCTCCAGATTTTTAAAGTCCAGTCCTTGTCAGAACAAGAAACATCTGAGGTGGCTCCATACTTGAGCCAATCAACTTGAGTATTTCATTCACTTATTTGACAGACAGTGCCAAAATCAGTTGGCAAGATGGCAGCTGGAGAAACACACAAAAGATATTTGCGAAAGCCGAAGCTGACCCTTACTTTGACAAAACATAGCAAAACATAGCAACTGCCTGGGCTGCAGGTGCAGAAACCCTGAGAACATAAGCCTTACTGTCGATGGTGTGCAGAACTGGAGGACATGTAGTTCTACGTTCCTGTCTGAAACTTCCTGACTTTTCAAGACCTGAGCACTAGCACACAGCAACAAAGATGTCCAATGTGTGTAGAAAGATGTTAGTATCATGATCTCATATGCAGCTGTCTAAGGGTACTGTAGTACCTCTTATGTCATCTTGACAGTGTTGGTGGTTCTTCTTTGGTTATGTAATGGCAGTATAACCTCCTTCCACCACCCAGCAATACTAAGTCCCCCCATTTCATCATTCATACAGTACTTTTCACTGACTATCTTCCAAAGTGAGAAATAATGGAATCTTAACATGTTCTACATAGATGGTGATGGTGATGAAGATGCGTACAATTACTCTGTTCATTATTTCTAAATTTTGGGCAAATTTGTTTTTACACTTTGGAGAATTCCTACCCCCCTTAAATGAGAAGAGAATGGGAAATGAACACAAGGCAAATTCTAGGTAATGAACCCCTACATTGTTGTCAGTAAAAACCAAACATTATTACAGCATGTAAAGAAAAACAAGAAATGCATGAAACAACTCAAAAATAGACTAGTCTTTATTGAATTAATCACTTCTCAATCTGGAGTGTACTAAGTAAAGTGTGACATCTAATTTATGTAAGCACTGTGTGTGACTTTTGACTAAATGGGCAATATTAAAACATGAGCCACAAATAATGACTTCTGCCACTCACAGTGATGTGAATCGTATCAAATGTAGGGCAGGGAGCTGAAGAGTGTTGATAATTTTATGGGTTACACATTCCTATTGGCTATCATGGAGAGCTGTGACATAGTGTGTGACCTATTTCTAAAAAAACCCTCAGGCAATATGTATAGATAGAATGAACTGTTATCCTTTTTTAATTACATTTTAGGCAGCCCTGGTACATTCGAACCAAAATATCTTACTGATTTTTCATGTGTAACTTCAAAAATAAAAGGTATGCAATGTGACATTGATAGCAGCATTATTGCATTACAGTGATTTTGAGGTACTGTTATCCCCCGTTTCTGTGGATATTGAAAGAAGAGATCTTTCCAAAACTGCCTTACAGACCGCATTGCCTGCTGTCATTAGCTGAACCCCAGTAAAGGCTATGGAATAAGTCTGTGTTGAACAAGTCAGTTTTTTCCCCCGTTTCCTTTATGAGCAGGGAAACTACACAACTTGCTTTACTGCTGCCAAGCACATATCATAGGAGTGTCTAATGCATGTAAAAATGATCATAGTTTTTCAAACACAAAGTCTAAGATTAATTCCAAAAGGCTATGTAATATGGCACCAAATTAAAATTATAGCAATGCCACAAGGTCGATATACACTTAAGAGTTTTTATCTAATGTAAAATGTATATTTTGTACTACACACAATATTAATGCTTTCTCTGTGTAAAAAAGAAGTAAGTTATATTTTATCTCCATGGATAGCAACCTGTTAATTTGGACAATTGATTGTATATTTTTACTTTATGTATATATATTATTTCTCATCATACGTGTACGCCTCTTATTTGCTAATGGGTTCATGCTGTGTTAAAAATATTGAGAAAAGCAACTTTTCCACTGGGGACCAAATATAGAGGGAGTGTAATTACTAAATTGCTCCAAATCCTAAAATATTGCCCACATGACAAGTCATATGTGTGCACATTATGACATTACTGCAAATTGTTTTTTTGTGTCACAATCTGGTTGTGCAAAATGTTAATTTAAAAATAGAATCAGACTTGAGAACTTCTTAGTAGATAATATAATTATTGCACATATGAAAAATTAACTATATAGATCTCATAACCGACCTTTACATAATACCTGAACATATTACAACATGCAATGATTGATTAATGCACAGTGACATACTGTAGAATATCAGCTATAGAACACAGATATAAGTATGGTTATTTATGTTGTATAAATGTTGTTCTTTATGTTTTTCCTGTGTGTGTCTTAATTCCAGCATAACTTGTGCAAAAATGTATTTTAATACAATGCCTGAGGTCAAGCATGGTGTAAACATTATATCCTTTATCTTTTTAATATATTTCAGCACAAACCTGCCTAAAGATACTCAATTATAGGTGCAATACTAAGTGTTTGTGTTATTAAATATAAAAATCTGATCTAAATGAAACTATTTTCATCACACATGCCTACTATTTGCTTTTATTAATGTTAGATACTATTATGTACATACGCCTTTATTTGCATGCTTTCAATACTTCATAAAAAAAGCATCAGCATTCTGCACAATTCTTCTTTTTCAAAACAGCTTTCAAATTGATTCATGCTTTCAGTGCTATAAAGCTGCTTTGACCCATCATTCCCTGCCAGACTGCAGTTAATGCAGTTTAGCACTGCAGATTGCAATATCACAATGCAACAGAGAAAAAACTGTTTTGTTACAACTCTATTGAAATGTGTTAGGAATTTTTCATTTTTCTGTTTCAGTTTAAGTTTGTGAACCCCTTAGGAAAATATATATATATATCAGACTTAAAACAAATTAGTTCTTTGTGAAATTCTAGATAAAAGATTAAGATGACCTGATTAAACATATAACATAAAGACATGAGATATACATGGATTATTTAATGTAAAAAATGATCCATCAGTAAATATCCTCATGTGAATAAGTACTGTACAGTATATGAACCTCCTTGAGCAGCAGTGACTTCAACTAGACATTTCCTGTAACATTGGGTTTCATGAATTTTAGCTCATTTTTTCCTGCAGAGCTGCTTCAGGTCTGTAACATGTAACTTGCATAGGATCCACAATGCAAAAATTCTTCTTTCCCAGCCATTCCGTTGCAGATCTGCTTGTTTGCTCAGGATCTTTGTCTTGCTGCTTGACCCATTTTCAATCGGCTTCAGATGACGAATGGATGGCCTGACATGCTATTTCAGCATTAGCGGTTGCAACTCTGAATTCATGGTTCCTTTTGATGATGGCAAGCCACCCATCTCCTGAGGCAGCAATGCAACCGCAAACCATGATACTCCTGCCACCATGCTTGATGGTCAGGTTGTGTGGAAGGCAGAGTTTGTTTTTTTCCCCACACAGAATATTTCTCATCATGGCCATAAAGATCAACTTTTGACTCATCTGTCCACAGCCAAGTCTTCCTTTATTGTTGTAGATCATCCAGATGCTCTTTGGTGTAACGTGAGATGGGCCGCAGTGCTCTATGGGGAGAACAAGGGTTTCTTCCTGGCTATCCTCCCCAGAAGAGCTTTCCTGCTCAGGCTTTTCCTGATGGCTGAGGCATGAATGCTTATATCAGCCACAGTGAGAGAGGCCTGCAGATCCTTAGAGGATACTCAGGGGTTCACCGTGACCCCCTGGATGATTTTCCAGTTTGCTCTTAGGGAGATCGTGGCAGGATGGCTGGTACTGGGTGGAGTCACCATGGTTTTGACTATTATCTGTCTGCCAGTGGACGCCTTCATCCCCCTGCCACCTGCTTCACTAGTTTACCATTATAATAGAGTCTATTCGTTTCTAAACCAAAAATTGCGATTTGCAGTTGAATGAGAAGGACGGTGCTGGGAAGCTCAGAAATGTTATGGCTTGTTTAGTCCTGCTTGCGCTCATTCAGGTGGTCTGGCGAGTCAGGGTTAGGGGTTAGGGGTTAGGGTTAACCTCCAGGAAGTAACTTCCTTCTAAATAAATCGACGTTTCCATTTCAGGCTGCACAATAACGGCCGGATCCTTGATGTGTTCCTGCGCTTGCACGGTAAAGAGGGGGCATTCTTCATTCCCCATGATCTTGAAGTGTCAAACCAAGAACTGAACTACATTGTGAAAAAGGCTGAGCAATGGAGAGGGATTCATGGAGAAAGAAGAAAGGTGAGTGCGAACGGTACTGTGTGGGAAATCGCCAAGAGACGAGTATTTTTCTCAAAACCTTTTCAAAATTCATGTAAAAATGTCATAAAGGTAATGCTAGTTTAAATCTCAAACTAAATCTACAGCAAAAACAGAAAACAAAGCATGACAGATTTACATCTTTAATGTTGTTTTTCTCTCAGTTTTCTGTAGAAGCAGGCAGAGAGGGATGAAATGCCAAGGATTAAAATGAATGACTGTGACAGCTAACTTTAAACCAGGGAACACTAACTAAGATGTTTAGTTTAAAAGAAACATAAAATAACCTTGTTTTATATCATTATATTTTCTTTACTTACATTTCAGAAAGCCAAGAATTCATCTCAAAGGTCTTTAACTTCATTCTAATTAGTACAAGATAATTACCAAAACAGAAACTGAGCTAGCGGGTGCTTCATTAGTCTGTGGAATCCAATTTTCAAAGATATTTCATTAAAGAAAGACTACTTAATCAACACACATGCAATTTTGGATAGACTGACTGACAGACAGACACCAACCCTTTTACAAAGACAGACCATGTGGTCATGTGGTTGATTTAAAATCCGTGTAGAGCTTTAGGTACAAGCAGAATGATAACTGCTCTTCTGTTCTGCAGACAACTGGACTTTTACGGATTTTTCCATGTAACCATTTGTGAATGCATTAATTTTAGGAAACACAGTGTGGGGAAAACAGATTTTCAGTCCATTCAGCAACTAGTCTTTTTGTAAATAAAAATAAAAAAAAAACATTATGTGATATCTAACTCTTAAAATTTATTTTTAAAATGAATTCAAGTGAGTGTCATAAATAGATTCTAAATGCAATTTAAAAACAATTTGAAATTAACCAGCATATAGTGTCTCATTATTCGTAGTGCCGACTGGTCACATGTCCACTAATATGACAGGGTCCTGAAACACATTAAACAGGCCAGCATGGAATTACCAGCTTTTTCTGAATGGAACCACGACTAATATGAGTCATGCCGGGGTGATGTAGACCTGTAAGGAGGTTCTTCTTACACAAACTCCAAGGGTCATGGTGGTATGAAACAAGCTACCCAGCCATGTTATCAAATTGCTTCCTGTCACTTGTGACTTAGACTCTTCTGTTTTACTGTAAAGATGATGGAGTTACCTCATTAGGTCTACAGAGATCTGCATGGAGTACTGACATACACAAGACATGATGGATGGAGTAATACCTTTGTTCCTTTTTTTCCTTTTTTAAATTGTATATTGTTAGCATGCCCAAAGGGGTTGGGCAGCCAGTTGACCTTGGACCCCTAGAGGTTTTTTTCTCCTTACTAAGGAGTTTTGGGATCCTCTCCTCCGTTGTCTTCTGGTCTTCTGTTCTTTATTCACAACATGTCTGGTCACTTGCTTTGTTAAGCACCTCGGGGCAACCTTGTTGTGAAAGGTGCTATATAAAAATACATTGAATTGACTTAGCATTAGGTCTGTCGATCTAAAATAATAATCTGACAGATGTGAATACATGTATGTATCCTGAGAGACGCACTTGAAGCAGCATCACTAGTTCAAGATTTAAAGTTTTAGTAAGAGTCCAGAATTTCTTTCCTTAAAGTTTACAAAGTGTCTTCAAATCACAACATGAAGTGAAGTCCCTTTGCAGGTGGTGTGCATCACATTTTCTGCTCATACCCCAACCACTTGCCAGCACATGTACCTGCAGGAGAAAAGCAGTTTATCTGAATTCTAAGGTACCTTTAACAGGACCCTTCCATGCTGTAAAAACAAGTGCCAGATCTGAGCTGTGCTTTTTGAATCATGTGGATAGGTCTGGAAGGCAAAAATTCACTTTCCTTTCACTGTTTTCTGAGCTGGTGGAGACAGCTTGCGCTGGTATGGGCAACGTTCAGTACTAGTTCAGGGTCCATAGGTCCGTGAAGTGACTACAAGCATAAATGCTATCAAATATCAAGAATTATGGAAAAACGGGTTTCAGGAATTAGGACAATGTGTTGTCTTTTTTTTTGTGTGAACCATGCTATTACATTCTTCCAACAGTACAAATTTCTTAGCAAAGTATGGTACCATGGTCTTCAGGTTCCTCATTTGGATGTGATTGGGACCCTTTGTGACCAGTTAGATAAATAGCAAAATGTCACTTTGCATCAGTGCAGTACTATTACAGTTGAAAAACACCCCTTAATAATGTAAAAATAGCATTAGACACAGGAAGATGCCCCTCCACTTGCTCATATATGCTTTTAAAAAAATGTGCTGTACAGTACTACGGATATGGCGTAAATGTATTCTGGTGTCGTTTTGATGAATGAATCATACTTGACTGACTGTAATGCAGTTTAGTGCATAGTTGCATAGGCACTAAATTACCTCATTACTGACCTGCGTAGGCATAGAGGATGAGGTGATTTAACCTGTTGAATGTCAACCCCGGTGAAAATCAATGATGGTTAATTGAAGAAGGCAGCCAATATGCCTGGCTAACGAAGGGACAGATGTCTTTGTGCCATTGGTGCGGTGGAGACTGAACCGCCAGCTGCCAGCTGGTCTTCTAGACGGGGAGGTCCAGGTCAGATCTTCTAGACGGGGAGGTCCAGGTCAGATCTTCTAGACGGGGAGGTCCAGGTCAGATCTTCTAGACGGGGAGGTCCAGGTCAGATCTTCTAGATGGGGAGGTCCAGGTGTGGTCTTGTGGGCTGAAGTGCCATGCTGCTACAGGGATTAATGGCCTCTGACTGAATGGTGCAGCGTGGATCAAGTTATGGGACTTCATTTGCTGCCATGCTCCCATTCCTGTGGGGTCGACCTCCCCACATCTTCTCGCTGCTGGTGTGTGTGAGAGGGCGAAGCTGCAGATGCCCAGCTTTACCAGCCTGAGGCCCATTCGTTGGTGGGGCCAACATGTGGCTTCCAGGGATCAGAGACCAGTGAGCAGACATGAGCTTGCCTGGGCTCTACGAGAGGAAGGGGACACAATCCCACAAGACAGCACCTGCAGCCTGGTGCAAAGCACAAGTCCTAGATGTACAGTATGGCTTGTGCTGGCTGTGTGTGCTCCAGCTGGTGCCTCGTGCAGTAGAACCCTGGTGAGGAATTAGGTAATGTCTGTTCCATAACATGCCGATATACCTGTTATAAAAAATATTGCCTCCTTTATCTGGATGATTGTTCGGAACATTTTGAAGTTATAAGTTAATACATTTCTTTGGATTTTAATTCCCCATTTATGTTCTGGAGACGGAGAGGTTGTGGGGAGAGGAGATTGTGTCGGGGATTCTTCACTTTGCTTTACTTTTTCCGAACTGAAGAAGAGGTTGTAGAAATCCATAGCCTTTTAACTACTGAGCTCAAAAAATGGTCATGAGCAAAGCAAATATTTTTAAGGAGCAGCAGCTAATTGGTTTTGAGGAGCCGGGATGCATCACATGTAGGTGAATTGGAAGACTATTGAGATTTTAAACTTTAATAAGTTTCACAAATATCACGCTGCAGTTTGCTTAAGATTATGAAAAGATTTAATTCTACTGATGCCATGTGCTCGCTTTCTGGCCTGTCTTTGCAAATCTGCGCTACATATATTTTCCAGGATTACAACAATAACTGCATATTTCATATTGGACCTAATTTGCCTTTATTAAACTGATAAAATGCTAACACATTAAATACATTTGCCAGCATGATGAAAATTTAGGGTTATTGCATTTTATGATTTTTATATTATTCAGGCAGGCAATTTTTCATTTAAATAAGATAGGCCTTGCCATCATTTCTTAATTATTTCAGCCATTCCCTTTGCAAAAAAAAGGGTCACTTTCCCTACTCATGGAAGACATATTCTTATTAAACTAATTTACCTACATGCAAATTTTTGTCATTTTTACCTCATTAACTATTTATCATAGACTTAAAAAATATATTCATGAAGGAGAGGGTAGCAGCCCGATGGAGCTGAAACTAATATTTTGCAACTCTAATGATTTTTTGCATCCTTAATTAGATAGAATAAGGTTGATATGATTAGGTCAGGATGTAGTGTTTTTCATTAAAAATACATTTCAGAAACTGTATTCGAATATGCCCTTGCAATTAAATAATGAATCCAGCGTGTTTCTTATTATGGACCCAATTAATATCCGGGGAAAAGGATAATTTTAATAACAATGGTCCACAAGGCCATCATTAGTAGGAAAGAAAACGACGGAAAAAAATATTCACAGGTACATTTATGACAAGCTCAGAATAAAAGTGATGCATAATTGAAGGTGAAAAATATCATTAAAACTTTCAAGCATTTGAATACTGTATGTCCAGGATTTATTATTGCCATTTTTTAAATATTATTTTAAAATAAACTTGTAATTAATAACTAATGTTTTTTACAACATTTGTAAGACCTTGTGTAAAAATATTGTAAAGACATTTAATATCTGCTAATGAAATCAATTGTCTCAAAAGTACCATTTTGCATAAACAATGTAAAATGCAAAATCTCACCATCTTTTGCACTAGGGAAGGTGATCGAGGAGTTATTGTAAAATTTTAATTGCCAAAATTAAAATTTAAGTAAGACCAAGAATAAGGCTACTCAAGATCAATGAGAAATTGGTATCTGCCAGTAGGACATTATATTTCCAATGGCCTTGAAAGGATTTGGGACACAAGCATCTGGACTAGATTAATGGAGCCTACTCAAATCATCTGCAATTACTAATGACATAGTTAGAGTTGCATCTACATCACAGCAATGCAAGTACAAATTCAAGAGCTACAGTTCATGAAAGTATCATTTAAAGATCTGAAAATGAGCCAGACCAAAGTGAAAGCTGTAGTGACTAAACTTGCTTGAAGAAGCAAAGGGCATCACGTTAGAAAAGGTCAACAGTTCAGGTGTTTTTTAGGCAAGCTAACATTATCATCTGAAAGCCAGATGTCTGAAATAACCAGTACAGCCAAAATAATAAGCTGTGCTTTATAGGATTAAGAATA